TATATTTCTTGTTTTCAGGTAAGATTCACAAAAGTTTTATTTCTTTTACTTTTTTTTAAATTGTAGCTTGCCAAAGCTTGGGCTGCTTGGCAAATTTAACTTGCCATTTCGATGGAAAAGGTCAAAAACTACCGTTATAAACAGCAAATGTATAATATTGGTAGTTTCAACAATATCACAGTAGTTTTGTAATTCAGTTATCCTCTTTTTCTTGTTCTTTATGTTCAAACTTATTCTCATATTAATTTTGTCTCATATCTTGGGTTCAAAATCCTTTTCTCTACTTGTTTTGTTTTATATTACTTTGAAATAATGAAATTCGTGATTGGTTTTAACTTTTAAGTGCTAACTACCAGGTTTTTGTAGCAGTATTTACTTAGGATGCATGTCCACAACCTACCTTTTCAGTAGCCTGCCAGTTGCCACTCTGGCACTTTCAAAAAATTCAGCATTTAAATTTATTTTAAACCATTATTGGGGCACTGTGCCCTACTTTGTTATCTTGCTCAGTCCAATGCTAGATAATTTTATTTGTTAAAGAGGAAAGTGCTGGTGCACTCAATTGCATAATAATTTTAAGTCCATATTAAACATTTTTATTATTTGGATCACCCCTCTACATTGTCACAGCTGTAACGTTTTTTGTAGCACAGGCTGTGGGAGTCTTAATCTTTTCTGTAATTCATGTAATGACCCAATATAGTTCAAGTGCTCTCACAAATCCAATGGAATTTGCTTATCCTGAGGCTGATGCTCAAGCATGAACAAGAAAAATACAAATAAGGTGTTTGAATGCAAGGGCTGTTGCAGAAATAACTTTATTTGATCATTTCCATTTCACAATAGCATGTTTATTATATACAAAGAGTGTCAAAGACCATATTCTTCACACTGAACATCTATATTTACATAATTATATTGCAGTGTAAGGATGTATCTTAATGTAATGTTACATTCATTCATTATTTTGCAGGTAAAGTCATTCACAGGTACCACAAGACATATCACAATGGATCAATATACTGAACAGCCAAAGCAAAATCGTACTCATCTGGCTACAAAGTCATAATAATAATAACTTGTCTGGATAGTTTTATCACTGCTAACAAAATTAATTATTTCTAATAATTGATCATTGATTATTCTTTAATAAAGAGGTTGAACTATGAACTGTCTCACCATCAAATAATTCTGCAATTAGACCAAAAAGAGATTATGTAATTAAAATGTTGTAAAATAAAGTTTTCACTGGAGACAAAAGAGTAAGAAAGAGAAGAAAGGGAATGAGAAAAGCAGCTTAAGCCACCACACTATTTAAAGGCTTCAATGTATCATGCAACTACCTGAAAAATAATACTATAGGTCTTTCACCTGAAATGTTGAAGTTCATTGATTTCTTAGTTTCAGGTAGTTGCATTATACAGGGGTGCACAGAGAGAGGGCTGAAATGAACAAAACCCCAAATAAATCCACTTGCATGGACTGGAAGTGACATTATCTACCAACTAAATTGTTTCTGACTTGATGTCTGACTAGCATGTGTGACTTTCTCAGTTCTGGCCTGTATAATGAGATCCAGTGCAACCCTATAAAGTCTATAATCTAGATTCTTTGCTTATACCTACACTTGACTACACTTGTGATTGGTACCCAACATTCAAGAAGTACAATCCTATTTCTAGTGGTTCAAGAATCCTCAATTCAACATGTCAGTCAGAAATCTAGGTAGAAATCATATTACCAGATATTAAGTTGCCCACAGTATCCTGAGCTTCTGGTACCCCTAGGCTAGCTTCCACTGGCACCCTAGATTATTCATACTATAATAAACACAAACTCTAGTGTATATAAACACAAAGAATATAGATAGAAGCACATTGTTTCATGCCTTTACAGTTGTATATACACTTTAACATTTTAATAGCACATACAATTGCATAAAATCAAGCATGTCAGATTTCAATCAGCCATCAGTCTATATAGAAAACCCCTTTTGATTTGAGGGAAAAAACTGATTCAACTGAATTAAATAAAACAAAATTTGTTTAACAAAAACCATGGCCAGCCAACAATTTAACAAAGCTAGTATAAAAGTAAAAAAAGAACTTTGAATATAAAAACAAAGTTTCTGTATTTGTCAGTAGCCTACGACAAGACTTTGAATACACGGCGGAAAATAATACGTTATACTATACAAAGAGCCTGTTATCTAATGGATTATATTCTATCATTTACTCCCACTATCTTTCAAAAATTAAAAAGATTAAAAAGCATATCAATAGTATGTGAAAATTTACCTGAATAGCTGTGCCATCAAATATCGTCTTTGCCTAAATTTTTCGGGGTTTTCATATCGGTTTTTTGTCTTTCGCGGGTGAGAATAGTGTGTACGACTTTTAAATTTTTGAACCAATGGTCAAAAGTCGAAAAAATATAAAAAACAACGAGAATTTACTGCAAAAACGTCGAAAAGCAAAAATATTTTTGATAAAACCAGGGGGGTGTGAAAATTGTAGCGGGCTCAGAATTGAGCCTGGTCAGTGGTAATTTCATGAGCCGGAGGAACCAGTTGTCATGGAAATGGCGTCATATGGCGCGAAAATCCGCCATGTTTTTGCGGACACTTTTTTTGCCGAGCACTTCCTCCAGTAATATAGTATAGCTCAGTGGGTCTTCCTCAGCTCACGCGCCACCACGAGGAAGACCCTGGGGACGAGGTTGGTGTGCGGGCTAACGTGCGCGTTGAATACACAATAAAGAAAATAATAAAGGGATGAAACATCGACGAGTGCCTGGAAGCCCAGAATTCAAAGCACAGTATCAGTGTGTTTAAATAAAAAGGTCAGAGTTTTATTACGTTGTAAGGTCCTCTAGGGCCTGTTCTTTCATATCGTCTAGCCAAAACCTTCCAAATAGTTGCTAACGAGGAGAAATATTTCGATTGATCGCACAGCAGTGTATGGTTGGATATGTCTGGATGTGTTCCACAGGTTGCTATGACATGCTTAAATGCTTACTTATTTCCTACTACACACTCCACAGATGTCTAAAATCATATGGAAAATATTAAATAGTATTGTTAGTAGCTGTTGGCATATTCGAATATAAAACACATATAAAATTTTAGACACATACAAAACAAAATTTCAAAATCAGTGATCAGCCGATCAGCCGGCCGTGAGAATTTCAAAAAATATGTGAATTAACTAACCAGTAAACCGCAATATTTTTTGGATTTTCCAAATTATTGCATATGACAAGCTTGTAATCAGAAAGGTAATTTATGAAAGAAGTTCTTTTGTTGAAATTTATAGAAACTTAAATCGATAATTTCTCAATGTCATAGCAACCTATGGAACACATGCTTCCAGGCACTCGTCGATGTTTCATCCCTTTATTTTTTCCTTTATTAAGCATTCAACACCACATGCTTAGCCCGCACACAGCCCGCAAGTCGCAGGCTTCAACACTGAGCTATATATTTCATACGTAATTCTAATACATAACTTCAATAAGACCCGGGATGGGCTCCCTGTGAAACAATGCGACGTTTGTATCATATGACCCTGGAAAGGCCAGAAATGGATTCGCAAGGTCAAATTGCACCTACACGCGTGAGTTTGACGTCATACCGGCCAACAGGAGCTTCTTATTGGCCAATTATTGCGCAATGTTCGCAAGTGCGAGTAATACGTACTAAAACCCGATACCTTGAAAAATTCAAAATAAATATTTCTAGTCGGCGTATACATACCAAACTTTCTACACGAAAGCGCTTGGATACAAAGAGTATTTTACACATATAGCCGTTCAGAAAATGACAAAAAGTTCAAGAGATATTCAAGATCTTGTAGATATAAAATCTAGAATCTTTGGCCAAGCGGTGAGTAAATATATGATTGTTTCGGTTTGTGTAATGCTCTGACGGCACTTGACCCCCCGTTCAAAAGGTTATTTTATTAGGATTTCAATGGTGGCTTTTATTTACAAGGGGGGTAAATACTCGCCGAGATATTTATATTAGAAAAATTGTGTCGTAATCTGATGCGAAAGGGGGTGGTCGAGAAAGAGTTAATGGTTTCTCTTAATTGCGGTGCCCAAAGTTTGGCACCGCATTATATTCTGCCTGTGAGTTAGTTTGTTAGTTTGTTAGTTTGTCCGTTTGTTAGTTTGTTCGCATCAATACGTTTCCTTAATCGCCTACAAAAAATTCCTTGCACGCGCTCGGAATTTATAAATTTATTAATTAATCGTGTACTCTCATGATGATCGACTGTTTGCTCAGTTTTATCTCTGGTTTTATGCGTAAAACAAGGACAAAAATACCACTGTTCAAATCAGCGTGAAAAGTTGTGTTTACGGATGGAAAATTGATTTCAAAATTGACTTCTACTCTACCTATTTGTCGCCTTTGAAAGACAAAAGCCGCTCAAAATAATCCTTCACGTTTTCCGAATTCCTTTTTTCGAGGAAAGTTTTCTTTCGAATTAATCTCGAACTTTCACGATTGACTTTTTGCTGCGACTTATCTCTGGTTTTATGCGCCCAATAAGGACAACAATACCACCGTTCGATTCAGTGTAAGAAATTATACTCACAGATGTCAAATGTATTATTATAAGTAATAGCATGGCTTGAGGGAGATTAGTGATTAAATGGCCCCGTAACCCGAGGCAGGTTTGCGGAATTCCCGAGGGCGAAGCCCGAGGGAATTCCGCAAACCTGCCGAGGGTAAGGGGTCATTTAATCACTAATCTCCCGAAAAGCCATGCTATTAGTTTGTAATAGCATAGTTTCGCTCCCATTTAAAAATGGACAAACATGCCCTACTTGGAATCAGCGTATTTAAGCTAAAACATTTGCTTCATTGCTTGTGGGATGTAAAAGCTTGTTGCACATGCGCACTTTTTACGCTTTAATCGGTTACGCATGCGCAATCTATCATTTAACGTACCACAACAACAACGCTAAATATATTTTGTGTTCAATATATAGACCACAGTAAGACTTTTTTAAATGTTTATTTCATTAACAAACGACGTTTCGGAGATTTACTCCATCTTCAGGTAGGATTACAATTTGAATTTAAACTAACATGCGCATGCATAAACGTTAAAATTGAGATAACATGAGACTTAGGGAAAGTTCGTTCCTAAACATTTTGCTAAATATATTAGTATAAATTTGAAGACTGCACGTGCATAATTTAAATGATGCGGCAACTCGGGGATCGGATGATAGACTATTGACGGCTCTGAGCTAACTGTTGCTGTTCCTTGCACGATTATGTGCGTGAGGCACTTGCCTAATGCGTAGTCGTCAGGGAGTCAAAGGTGTGACCCTTGGTAACGGGCGATTAGTTCTAATCGCCCGCTCTAGCGGGCGATTAGAACTAATCGCCCGCTACAGCGGGCGATTAGTTAGTAATCGACCCTGTTGAAACAAAAGAAACCCGGGCAACTATGCTATCACCAAACTACAGTATTCTAGCGATTTATGGCCTTTGAAAGACAAGCGAAATTGTATTGTTCACAAATCGCTCAAAATTATTAAACTAATTAAAAATGCAATGCATTTGACCTTGATAACTTTCGTATTGTTGGTTTTCTCTTTTTCGTCCGTATACCAGTCGATTTGTCTCACTTTCCTCTTTATTTTGTTTGTAGTTTGAGCCCAAAATATTATATTTTGAAGGTTTTAATGTGCAGTTTTAATAAGCGAAATTGTATTGTTTACAAATCGCTCAAAATTATTAAACTAATTAAAAATGCAGTCCGTTTGATCCTCGATAACTTCGGAATTGTTGGTTTTCTCGTTTTCGGCCGTATACCAGTGGATTCGTCTCACTTTTCTCCTCATTTTGATAGTATTTTGAGCCCAAAATATTTTATTTTGAAGGCTTTAAAACGCAGTTTTGATCCTAACGTACGGACCAACTGGCGGCCGACAGGAGAATGTATAGCGTGCTAAATATAACTTTACTTGTGCAGGCGGGCACCGCATTTTAGTACTGTGTCTGGTTTCATGTATAGTTCTCCCGCCATAATTGTCCCGACCGCAAGTCCCTCCCCCAAAAAACCATCTGCAACGCAGGCTATAAATTCCAGTGTAAATTCCATGCAGCTCGGTATGTGCGGGATCCAATTCTGTAATTTCATTATCAGTTGTGAACCACAGGTGAAATCAATTTCTATATATATAATTGCCTATAAATTTTCGTGATCAGCGTCGACCGATGTGAAGATATAGGACGCACTGAAATCTTAAATTGTATATTTTGATTATAAACAGTATGTCAACTTGAAAAATATATGAAGAGTATATTTTTTGAATGGATTTCCAATTGTCAAAATACCCTGCTTTCCAGGCTGACTAATAATTCCATACCAAATGAATCTTAAGATGATTGCGTCATTTGCATATAAATTTATTTATCTGCATGCAGTTATTTGCATTAGGAATATCATGTTATGCAGTTGCAGTGGAATATTTTAATATGTTATTTAAACTGCTCAAGTGATAACGTAAATTATGTTATTTCCATTTCTAAAAACTCCAAACAGCTAGGATATGAATAAATATGTTAAATTAAATAAATTATTGAAAAATTGATTGTCTAGCCAATTTTTACCTGATCCTATTGTAAAGATGTTGTAAACTGTAAAGAAATCTCGGTCTAATCACGAGTTGCTTAGACAATACACAATAGTGATTAAAATCATTGTTACTATAATTAACTAATGCGCATGCCATGAGAATGACTGAAAAATAAAAAATACAATTTTGCGATTGTATCACTGAATAATTACTCAACAAGAAATATCACAGATTTCCCAACCTCATTATCATGTCGTAAATTTTGCTTCTCAATTTCAGTATAGCATTGTGAAAATTTTGTTTATTTTTTATATCAGCTCATCTGGTGTTTATAATCTCAAGGAGGCAAAGTTCTTTGATATTATTTTCGTCCATGAAAATAATTGATTTGGATGTCGCATGAGTTAACTATTAATTTCGCGGCAGCGTCACCACTTTTGTTGACATTTTGAAGATAAGGTATCATTATCAATTATAAATGTTTCAAATATTGTTTAATTAATTGCTATGTGGTTGATTGCCCGACAGTATGATTAGTATTGATATCCATGCATGAAGCCTTGAAGCGTGTAAACGCCAACGTTTGTATATACTATATTACAAGACGTTTGCATGCATGTCTTTTTGGTAGTAGTATACAGAAGGTGGGTTCTAAGGCGGGTGGAGCAGCTGTGCTCCACCAATCACGTCATCATGGTCAGATTTTATCACTGTTGGGTGGAACAGTAGAACTCCACTGATGACGTTACCAGCGGGGTAGAAACCAGAGGTCTCGCTCGAGACAACAACGTTTTCGTTGTTTTCAGCATAGGTCTGAACAAACAGGAAACTAAGTATTCGCAGCCATCCGGAAAAGGCAAATTAATAAATAATATTAGCCTGCTGCCATAAACATGCATGTATATGATATATTCGTCCGCACGGATTAATAATCCAAAAGGGCAAAGGGGTTCAGGATTTCTTTAATCAGATTCAAGTAGTGCACTGCATGTGATTTCATTTAAAGGTCTGCAGGATGCTTCAGATGCAATTTGTCTTAATTCCATACAGTTCGGTATGTGCTGGGCCCGATCCTGTACTTTCATTGTTTGCAAAACAACACTAGGTGAAACCAATTCTTTCTTACAAATTTTAGCCATGGTGATCAGCGTCGACTTATGTGAAGACACATGACGCACTGAAACCTAAAATTGCCTTTGGAGTATACTTGATTTTATCTCAAATTGTCAAAATACCCTGTTTTTTTTTCAATACTAAATTACTGTTCATGCACATGTTGACAATACCAAAATTACATGTTATTTCCATTTCTGAGAACTCCACACAGGATACTAACTAACTCCATGAATATAATCGATTTGAATTTTGAGAATTTTGGATGATTACCCGCTTTTGTTTTTGTTTTTGACATTCAGTTGAAGACACGATATTCTGGCTGCCGAAGGCAGCCTCCTATTCTTGACGATGTGTTATAGCCCATTTGAATTTCCCGCCAACAGTTTTATATACCGAAGCGTATCTCGATTTTGGGTCGGCAGTTGTGACGTCAAATTGACAAT